TAGTAATAATAATAATATGAATAATACAGTAATAATACATATACTATAATAATAATGTACTACATATAATAATTATAATAATAGATGGCTTCAAAAGGCCGTCACTAGATAGCAGTGTTTACCACAACAAAGAGGGAGCGGTTGTGGCCTCCTCCACCTGTTACATTACGACATATTTTATTCATTCTAGAGTATATATTGTGCTTCTATTTTATTTATATTGTCTGTTATGTCATATTAGATGAACTGTGATATATAAATAAGCTGTATAGATGATATTAGCGAAATTATTCATGAAGTATTTTGCCCTGTCTCCATTCAAACTCTCGTCCACCGCCGACACCGCCCATACCACTACATGAATGACATATTTTATTCATTCTAGAGTATATATCGCGTTTCTATGCTATTTATATTGTTTATTATGTCATATTAGATGAAGTGAGATAGATAAATAAGCCGTAGAGTTGATATTAGCGAAATTATTGAAGTACAGAATTCCACTGGAACGGATTAATTGCATTTCAATTAATTTAAATGAGGAAAATTGATTCTGCAAACGAGCAAATCCAGTTGCGAGCAAGGTCATGGAACGGATTAAACTCGCAAGTAGAGGTTCCACTGTATTTTGAGGAACTGCTAAATGTTGATGAAGATAGGAAGCAGGGCAGGGAGGTATAACATCTTGTAGGAGTGAAGAAGAGCCAGTTGCGAGTGTGAGGGAGGTGCGTGAAGAAGTGGGTAGAATGAGAGAGGGTAAAGCAGCTGGGATTGATGGGATAAAAAAATAAATGTTAAAAGCATGTGGGGATATAGTTTTGGAATGCTTGGTGCTTTTATTTAACCCTTAAATGGTCCAAACGTATACATACGTTTTTTCAACACCTGAAAGTATGTAAACAAATGTATAAATTTTTTTTTTTTTACATTTGAAAATGTGTAAAAAAAAAGTAGATCTACTTTTGTAGCACTACGAATTTGAACGCCGATTTGTTTGGACCGTTTAAGGGTTAATAAATGTACGGAAGAGGGGAAAGAACCTAGGGATTGGCAGAGAGCATGCATAGTTCCTTTGTATAAAGGCAAAGGGAACAAAAGTGTAAAAATTATAAGGAAATAAGCCTGGTGAGTATACCTGGTAAAGTGTATTTTAGAGTTATTATTTAAAGAATTAACCCTTTTCAGGGTTTCTGATGTACTAGTACGCTTACGCACCAGGGTTATCGATGTACTAGAATGCTTAAATTCTAGCACCTTCAAATCTAGTGAGAGAAAGCTGGTAGGCCTACATGTGAAAGAATGGGTCTATGTGGTCAGTGTGCACAGTATAAAAAAAATCCTGCAGCACACAGTGCATAATGAGAAAATAAAAAACAAAACTCCGACTGTGTTTTTGGTTAACCCTTTGACTGTCGCGGCCATATATATACGTCTTACGAGGTACCGTGTTTGACGTATATATACTCATAAATTCTAGCGGCTTCAAATCAAGCAGGAGAAAGCTGGTAGGCCCACATGTGAGAGAATGGGTCTGTGTGGTCAGTGTGCACCATATAAAAAAAATCCTGGAGCACGCAGTGCATGAGAAAAAAAAAACTCCGACCGTTTTTTTTTAATTAAAATGCCGACTTTGTGGTCTATTTTCGTATAGTATTTATGGTTGTATTCTCGTTTTCTTGGTCTCATTTGATAGAATGGAAAACATATTATAGAAATAGAGGTGATTTTGATTGATTTTACTATAAAAAGAACCTAGAAATGGAGCTCAAAGTAGGGGAAATGTTTGATTTTTGCCAATGTTCAAAAGTAAACAAATGATGCCATTGTCCAATAAATGTCCAACTAGCCATTCTAATATGCAGTCATGAATGGGTTGATGTTATTTATACAATTATTACAGCATTGCAGTAGTCTGCATAATAGTAAGTTTTCTATTTTTTGTTCGAATAAAAATTCAAAATAGAAAGCAAGAGTAATATCAGAGGGGCCTGGAGACATGACTGATGAACAAAGAAATTGTTATTTTAGAGCCAGGAATGTCTGCATTGTTCATTCTGGACCTTATTTTGAAATTCTCATATTTTTTAGTTTTTGTGAAATTGGCCAAATTGCAAATTTCTGACCACATTATTAGATAGTTGAAATCGGTAAATGGGCAGTTTCTTGTACTCAATCGATAGAAAAAATGGAGTTCTAAAGAAATAACTATGAGTTTGGGCGACTGGAACAATGGAATTAGCCGAAAATAGTGCTCAAAGTGGGCAAAATCGCCAATTTGTAAACAGCGCCGAGGTCGCTAACTTCGCGAGAGCGTAATTCCGTCAGTTTTCCATCAAATTTCATTTTTTTTTGTGTCATTACAATCGGGAAAAGATTCTCTATCATTTCATAAGATTTTTTTTTTTTTTTAAATTCTGCGACACCAGGAGACACCTCAGGATTGGGGGCTGCGACAGTCAAAGGGTTAAAAACAGCGTCTTTGCACTGTAATTTTGTATGGTATTTATGGTTGTATTTTAGTTTTCCTGGTCTCATTTTATAGAATGGAAGACATATTACAGAAATTGAGATGATTTTGATTGGTTTCAAAATGAAAAATACCTTGAAATTGAGTTCAAAATAGCAGAAATATTCGATTTTTACCAAGGTTCAAAAGTAAACAAATCATGCCAAGCGTCCAATACACGTCAACTGGCGAGTCTAATATTCTTTCACAAGTGCACTGATATTATTTATACCATTTCTATACCATTTATACACTAATGCAGTAGTCTGCATAACAGTAAATCTTCTTTTGCGAGAATAAAAATTCAAGGTGGAAAGCAAAAGAGATGCAAGAGGGGCCTGGGGATGTGACTAATGAACAGAGAAAATGTTATTTTAGTGCCAGGAATGTCTTTCTTGTTTATTCTGGATCCTATTTGGAAATTGGCATCTTCTGAAATTTGTGAAATTGGCAAAATTGCCAATTTCTGACCACTTTATTGGATAGTTGAAATCGGTAAATGGGCGGTTTCTTGTACTCATTCGATAGACAAAATGGAGTTCTAGCAAAATAGATATGATTTTTGTTGACTAGTACACATGAATTAGCCAAAAATAGGGTTCAAATTGGGCGAAATCGCCAATGCGTCAACATCGTAGAGACCGCTAACTTTGTGAGAGCATAATTTCCTAAGTTTTCCATCGAATTTCATAGTTTTGGTGTCATTATGATCGGGAAAAAATTCTCTATCATTTCACAAGAATTTTTTTTTTTCTGAAAAATTTTCGACCCTGAGAACGAGTTTAGGAGAGGGCCACTTGACCCTGAAAGGGTTAAAAGTAAGATGGAGAGCAGGATTGTAGATGAATAAGGAGGCTTTAGGAAAGGTAAGGGTGTGTAGACCAAGTGTTTACAGTGAAGCATATAGGTGAATAGTATTTAGATAAGGGTAAAGAGGTTTTTGTTGCATTTATGGATTTGGAAAAGGCATATGATGGGGTGGATAGGAGAGCAATGTGACAGATGTTGGAAATGTATGCAATGAGTGACAGGTTACTGAAAGCAGTTTTTATCAGAATAATGAGGCTCAGGTTAAAGTATGTAAAAGAGCAAGAGATTATTTCCCAGAGAAAGTAGGCCTTAGACAGGGATGCATGATGTCACCATGGTTGTTCAATACATTTATAGATGGGGTTGTTAATTTGCAAAATAAATATCGGTCCCTATCAATTCAGACAAACATTTTCAGAAATTGCCACCGAAAATTGTAGGACACCTAAACATGAGGTTCTAGCTGTTGTTGCTCTATAACAACAGCAACTAAAAAATGCCTGGTTTTCATTATAACATTGCACAAGCCAGAAATCACCTTGTTTTAAGGCCTGTTTTCTCCCTTCAAGAAAATAGATATCTTATAGTTTAGAATCTGCTCTTTCTAATGAAGGATGTGTTGCCCTCTTGCTACTGGTCTTCAAAAATGGCCTAAAATTCACTGAGGTCTGTGAGGGCATATTTAGCTACCATTAACACAAAAACTAAAAATGTCTGGAGTCTGATATTTTAGGATTGTGATGATGTCTACTTGGGTCGCTGGCTACAATAATATCATACTAAAATAATGTTTTCCTTTAGAGATATAGGCAGCTGAATTCAAGATTAAATTTTATGCAACAAATTGTTTTGCCTACTTTGGCTTCATACTGCAAAAAAAGTAGAAGCTTGTAAGTTTTAGGAATGCAATTTTTGAAATCAGCTCCAAAAGTTGTATAGCCATGTCTACTTACACATCTTTTATTCTCCAAGATTTGCCACAGCAATAACTTGAACACTGTTAATTGTGTGCTGCAGGTCGGTGAAATTTTTCACCTGCCTTACTATTATAGAATATCAAGGACTAAAATTTTCCCAAAGTTAGTTTGATATACATGCCAACCTTCATGTAAAATTTTATCAAAATTGGAGATGCTCAGGTAAGGACGATTTTCAGAATTCGTCCACTTGACATGGAATGACCCTAACTTCTGGTTAGTGTGACTTTGTAACTGGTCCAAGTCAGACCGAAACGTCATCGTAAGCTCCTCTCTAGTTCTATGTGCGGGTTATTTGTGTAAAATGCAATAATATTTTAAATACTGAAAAATGGGTCCAAGCCCTGAACTCCAGGAATGTAACCTTGTCTCAAAAGAATAAAAACACAATACTACGAGGAAAAATACACAAATAACCTCCACATAGAGACAAACCTATGATGATGTTTCTGTCTGACTTGGACCAATAACTAGTCATGACTAGTTTATGGAACAATTTAGACTGAAACACTGTTATGAGTGTATCCTATGTGCGCGTTATGTATTGTAACTGTCTCAAAATGAAACTATTTACGATTTTTTGACTTGCTACTTTTCTTAGGATGCATCGTCATTAGTGTAAGACATGGTTGTACTCTTCTGTATTAGATATGTGCACAAACTGAAGCCAGAGCAATATTAGAAGATTTAACAAGCACAAGACCTACACAAATTTATATCCCATTTTGACGGGTGCAGGGGTCTTCTTGCGTCTGCGTTTGTTACGTCCTTTCCTTCGTAGTGTTGGTGTACCACTGCGAGAGGTATCTGCATTAGAACCACTTCCTACACTTGAAGTATCATCCTGGTGTAGATAATGAAGTTATAAATTATGTGCCATTTAGGATTAGTACACTTAATGCAAATGCAGCAGTGACAGAAAGAGGCTAAAATGAGATTTATCAAAGGCTAAAAGATAGGAAGATAAAATGTTCTAGTGAAAAATTGATACAATACTGTACTTCTCTGCAGAGATGGATCAAGATTTTGTAGGCCCCTGGGCTACAAGTAAAGTTAAAGAAATATTAAATTTATTTTCACAAGGTTAACCACAATTAAAATTCAAACATTTGCTTTCCGTAATTTCTCAGAATCAAATTTCTCCAAGACATCAGTAAATTGTTTAGGTAGTAGGTTGGTAGACAGCAACCGCCCAGGGGGGTACTACCGTCCTGCCAAGTGAGTGTAAAACGAAAGCCTGTAATTGTTTTACATGATGGTAGGATTGCTGGTGTCCTTTTTTGTCTCAAACATGCAAGATTTCAGGTACGTCTTGCTACTTCTACTTACACTTAGGTCACACTACACATACATGTACAAGCATATAGATACACACCCCTCTGGGTTTTCTTCTATTTTCTTTCTAGTTCTTGTTTATTTCCTCTTATCTCCACGTGGAAGTGGAACAGTATTCTTCCTCCATAAGCCATGCATGTTGTAAGAGGCGACTAAAATGCCTGGAGCAAGGGGCTAGTAATCCCTTCTCCTGTATAAATTACTAAATTTAAAAAGAGAAACTTTCGTTTCTCTTTTTGGGCCACCCTGCCTTGGTGGGATATGGCCGGTTTGTTGAGAAAAAAAAAAAAAAAATCAGTAAATTGTAAGTTGTTGAGAACATTGTTTTCAACTGCCATGAGAGCTAGTCTGTTTAGTCATTCTTTTGCCATTGTTGATCTATGTACATTCTTTAGATGTGTCATCTTGGAGAAACTCCTCTCTCCAGTTGAATTAGTCATCATTAACCCTTTCAGGGTTTCTGATGTACTAGTACGCTCACGCACCAGGGTTATCGATGTACTAGTACGCCTAAATTCTAGCGCTCTCAAATCTAGCGAGAGAAAGCTGGTAGGCCTACATATGAAAGAATGGGTCTATGTGGTCAGTGTGCACAGCATAAAAAAAATCCTGCAGCACACAGTGCATAAAGAGAAAAAAAAAACTTTGACCGGTGTTTTTGGATTAAAACAGTGATTTTGCACTGTATTTTCGTATGGTATTTATTGTTGTATTCTAGTTTTCCTGGTCTCATTTTATAGAATGGAAGACATATTACAGCAACTGAGATGATTTTGACTGGTTTTATAATGAAAAGTACCAAAGTAGCAAAAATGTTCGATTTTTACCAAAGTTCAAAAGTAAACAAATCATACCAAGCGTCCAACACACGTCAACTGGCGAGTCTAATATTCTTTCACAAGTGCGCTGATATTATTTATACCATTTCTACACTAATGCAGTAGTCTGCATAATGGTAAATCTTCTATTTTTTGTAACAAAACAATAAAAATTCAAAGTGGAAAGCCAAAGAAATACAGTGGAACCTCAAAAATTGAACTTAATCCGTTCCAGGAGCTAGTTCTAAATTCGAAAAGTCTGAAATTCGAAGCAATATTTCCCATAAGAAATAATGGAAATACAATTAATCCGTTCCAGAAACCCAAAAATATTCATACAAAAAATACATTTTATAGAGATTAATTACAGTTTTACATACAACAAATACTATAGTTTTTAATTATGTATAGTAATACATATAAAATAACATTTTTACTTACCTTTATTGAAGATTGGTGATGGCATCTGGAAGGTAGGGAGGAGGAGAGAGGGAGTTGGGATTAGTGTTTGGAAGGAGAATCCCCCTCCATGAGGACTTCAGGTAAAGCCCTCTCTGGGGTTACTTCCCTTCTCTGTCTTTTAATGCCACTAGGACCAGCTTGAGAGTCAATGGACCCCTGTCTCACAAAATAACTGTCCACAGTCCTCTGTTTCTGGCACCTCTTTAACATTTCCCTAAAATGGGACATGGTTCTGTCACTGAACTTGTTGCAAAGATGGCTTGTTTCAGCTTGCTCAGGGTGGTACTTCTGCACAAACATTTGGACATCATTCCACTTGGCACAAATCTCCTTAATCTTTGAAGAAGGCACCTCATCCACTTCCTATATTAACACCTTTTGCAACATCAGCTTCCTTGATTTGTTCTTTCTTTGACAGGATAGAACCGATGGTCGACTTGTTTTTCCCATACATCCTGGTAAGCTCAAGTCTCACACCACTCTCATACTTCTGTATTATTTCCTTCTTCACATCTATGGTGTTTCTCACTTTCTTTACCACAGGGGTACCACTAGCAAGTTTCTTTGGGCCCATGGCAGCTTATTTCACAGTCCCACAAGCACTAAACACAACGAAATAATCGTAAAATGCGTGAATGAGAGCGCAGGTTAGTGTTCACTGAAGCATAAACAAAGCTAGACTGCTCACGGCGCCTGCGTGGGGACGCGGACAGAGCAGGCGGCAGACAGGTCCCATACCCGGCGGCCCGAAAATAGTGGCGCATTCGATAATAGGGACACAGTTTGTCAGAAAAAATGGTCCTATTTTCGAAACGTTCAATATGTGATACGTTCGATTTTTGAGGTTCCACTGTATAAGAGGAGCCTGGGGATGTGACTAACAACAGAGAATTTGTTATTTTAGTGCCAGGAATGTCTTTCTTGTTTATTCTGGACCCTATTCAGAAATTGGCATCTTTTGAAATTTGTGTGAAATTGGCAAAATTGCTAAATTCTGACCACTTTATTGGACAGTTGAAATCGGTAAATGGGTGGTTTCTTGTACTCATTCGACAGAAAAAATGAGTTCTAGCAAAATAGTTATGATTTTTGTTGACTAGTACACTGGAATTGGCCGAAATAGGGCTCAAAGTAGGCAAAATCGCCGATGCGTAAACATCGTCAAGAACGCTAACTTCGCGAGAGCATAATTCCGTAAGTTTTCCATCAAATTTCATACTTTTGGTGTCATTATAATAGGGAAAAGATTCTCTATCTTTTCACAAGAAAAAATATTTTTTTTTTTTAAATTTGGCGACCCTGAGAACAAGTCTCGGAGAGGGCCTGGGGACCCTGAAAGGATTAAACAAATAAATCCACAGTGCTATTTCAACACTAGAGAACGAAGAAGTTAATCTATTGTTTACTACAAGGGTGTAGATATCAGAGGGTTGCAGTGTTTCATGCTTCTTCTTGAATTCATCAAATTGCCCAACAAAGTTTTTAAAGTGAAGAATTTCTGGCACAAATCCAGGCTCAATGTCATCTGAGTAAATCTTCTGAAACTTGGCTGCTGCTGCTGAAATGTGTTCATCATTCATTGTTGGAAATTCAACCAAGAAAGCCAAACATTGAATGAACATTTTTATATGCTTCAATGCAATGAGAAAGCACTGAGCACAACTTGTCTATGATGGGTAAATATGTTTCCACCTTAAACTTCTGTCTTCCTTGCAAAGCAGCATCTTCAGGGTTACCATCATTGATTTGTTTTCTTTTTCAATGCTCTTGCTGGTAATCCTTTGCCACTAGGCTTGACAAGTTGACACAATGACACTATACTACAAAACTTTAGCAAACTGAATAATACTTGCCTTATAGGAATCCATTCTTAAATTTCTATCAAAAATTAATTAAAACAGTCAACAGTTCATCATATACATGATATAATAACAAACTTGCAGCAGTAACTGTGAACACATTTCCTTTAACCTCTGGAGGCCCTCATGCTGGCAGAGGCCCCTGGGCTGCAGCCTCTAAAGCCCATGCCTCAATCTGGCTCTGCTTCTCTGCCAGCAGTCAAAACACTGCTTCAGAGTGGCTTCAAGGTCAATAACCATTAACCTCTAACCCAGCAGACAAACAACTGATGGGTCAGAGAGGTGGTAATTAAATGTGATGTTGGCCATTTTGCTCAAATGATGACAGTGACCACCAGTAGGTTGGAAGAAGGTCTACACTCAAAACCTCCAGCCTCCTCTTCAATGCAAAATTTAAAACCCATACCTCATGCCCACATGGAAGTGTTGGTACACTATACGTACTCTGATACATTCCTCTTTTTGCCTCCATGTATGCGGTATACTTATTTCTTTCTACAGATGCCTCAACACCTACTTTCCCTCCCCCACCCCCTTCCTTGTCTAATTTATGGTTCACCTCATCTTTCATGGAATCACCTGCCAACATGTCCACTCCCAAATATCTGAATATAGTGATCCCTTGAGTTACAATAATAATCCATTTGAGAAGATGTAATGTACCTTAAAACTATTTTAAACTCAAACCCCAAAATACATGGTTTTATTGTATTCGTTCCAAGACATCAGAACACAACCAACCTACCCTAAGATACTTTGTTGTTTAACCTTTAAACTGTCCAAACGTAGATCTACATTCATGTGCGTAGCGGTCCGACCTTTATTTTTCCCCATTTGAAAGCATGTAAAAAAACGTAGATCTACGTTCAGAGCCCCCCCCCCCCCGCCGCACGTGGGCGTAGATCTACGTTTGGACAGTTTAAGGGTTAAGCACTGGGGTTTTCTGAGTGGTAAATAAACACAGGCTTCAGTTTGAAATCTCTAGAGGTGGTGGCACTCAACAGCAGAGTAATCATATCTTTCATAGGCTCATACCCAGGCAAAGTGGCAGGAGAAGGCAGGGCATGCAGGACACTGCAGAGGAGGCAGGGCAGAGGATGCAAGGCAGGTAGGTATTCCAGGCAAGGGAATGTAGAACAAGGAAGATGCAAGGCAGGACAGGCCAGTGCAAGCAAAGCAGGACAGGGTTTGGGCAAGCAGGCAGTCTCCTGCTGCCCATGTCTCGTACATGTAGTGTTTCTCCCTTGCACCTTCCCTTACTCCCTCCCAATCACCTCCAACACAACCTCCACCATCAATACAGTGGAACCTCAGTTTTCATGATTAATTTGTTCCAGAAAGTCTGACAAAAACTGAATTGTACAAAAACC